GACAATATTAAAATGGATCTTAGAGAGACAGGATGGAATGGTATGGATTGGACTGATTTGGCTCAGGATAGGGACCGGTGGTGGGCTCTTGTGATCACGGTGATGAACCTTCGGGTTCCAGGAAATGCTGGGAATTTCTTGAGTAGCTGCAGAAATGGAGGCTTCTCAAGAAGGGCTGAGCTCCATGAGTAAGTAAATAAGTAAGTAAGTATAATTTGTAGACAGAGTAATGATTATTTTAAACCTTACAGAATATTGTACAATAGTAGCAAAGTACGTGCATTATTCGGAAAGTAAATTCCGTTTACTTTAGGCAACTAATGTAGGGTGAGTGGAGAGAGCTCGCGCATGCGTGGTAGCGTCACGTGGCTCATTTCCTTGTAAACCATCACGTAACTGGTCATCTACTGTTTGTTCTTGTCTCTACAGAATCAATTGTGATGTGTTCTGCGACTGATAATCCCGCCAGCTGCGAAATTCTCGCTGTTACCCGCTTTCTTCACGCTAAAAACATGAGTTCTGCCGAAATCCATCGTGAACTATGCGCGGTTTAAGGCCGAAATTTAATAAGCGAAAGGACTGTAAGAAAATAGTGTAAAATGTTAAAAAATGTGAGAAAAATTTTCAAGATGAAAAGAGAAGTGTTCGGCTATCTGTAGTGAGTGATACTCTTGTGTGTACGTATTAGAGAACCTCGTTATATCTTAAATACATGGGACTGGATGGGGGCTGCATCAAAGCAACAGGAAATTGTGTGATAACTTGTTAACTTTTCTGTTGTGTGCCTCGTCTATTCGCTTGTCTCTTAATAATTTCATACCCAATTAGATTTAATCTAGTTCAGCCTTTAAATCATTTTAACTATCTCATCTCTACTGATTGTTTATTGTTCAATTTCATAAAACATTTCTGCTCTATTCTGTAGTCCACCTCTCTCCATCTCTTTCTCCATTCCTTGCGCCCAACACACAAAGAGCACCTCTCTCTTCCTCTCTCAGAACATATAAATCCTTAGGTCTTGCTGCAGCAGGCGGCTAAGTCCTATCGTGGAAAGTCTTATCTTTTCCACCCCATTTCCTGGCGTCATCCACTGTAAAGAAAGGTCCCGGCACCATTCTTATGCACCCTACAGTCTATTTCCCTATTGTACCTTTCTCCTCTCCCCATCATTCCTTCTTCCCTAAAATTCCCGAGTCCTGGTGTTACCACATTCTCCTCCGTCCCTTGTGTTGGCTCCAGAGCTTCTACAAGCTGCAGAAGTGGAACCGCGGGTGTCATCAAAGCAGGACAATTGAAGAGGGAATACG